GTTGGCTGATGTTCTCACTAAAGGGGTGGCAAAGGACAAGCTTGAACATGATCTATGCAAGTTGGGAATGTGTGACATTTACTCCCAACTTGAGGGGGAGTGCTGAAGATTAATCAGTTTTATGATGTTTTTCTGAGTAGATGTTTTATGTTAGTTGTTAGATAGGAGGTGGGGGCCACAATAGTTATGTGAGTCCAAATTTTATTATGTTTGAGTGTTATATATGTTGTTTTATGTTTTTCTGCCCTATAAAAGCATAGTTGTCTTTGTACTATTCTATTATTTTTAGTATAAATAATAAGTGAAGGGAGTGGCCAGATTATTGCTCTCTTTTCTTTTCAACTTCTCTTCTTCTCTTCTTTTCCTTCTCTCTTCAAGAAACTAATTTTCTTTCATATTTTTTAATTCAGCAGATTTCTACTAATTGGAAGGAAGTGGCCTGTTCAGCTCCTGACAAGACTGTCCAACAACCATTGTGGACTCGCCCAGTTCTCGGCTTTATAAAGCTGAACTTCGATAGTAGCAGTGAAGGGAACCCTGGCCCTTCAGGTATTGGAGGGGTATTTAGGAATGAGGTGGGTATGATTATTGCTATGTTTTCAGGCCCAGTTGGGGAAGGAGACTCACTTCGAGCTGAAGTTTTGGCAGTCTTGGAAGGTGCCAAAAAGCCTAAGGAGCTTAACTTAAGGAAGTTTATTGAGGGAGGCTCGAAGTTAGTAATAGAATGGCTACAAAAGGAGTGTAGCATGTGGAGCTACCTGAATGAAAAAAGAGTATTTAAGTGGTTGACTCTGGATATGACAGTAATATTACAATGGGTAAAGAGGTGTGCTAATTCTTTCGCAGATGCACTAGCCAAACAAGGGGTGGGAAGAAATCAGTTGTTCTGGGCGAATTTGTAATCTTTCGTTTTCCTTGGGTGAGTTGAGAGAGTTTATCTCCCCCTACCATTGTACTTTTCTTCATCTTTCATTAATGAAATGATTCTGTTATTGATAAAAAATTAAAAAATAAAACTAGCAAAGTGTATTATACTAACAGAACCGTCGTTAAGGTAGAACTTATTTGTTGCATAACATGCTTATCACCACTTGGATATACCAAAAATTGCAAGATACTACCTTTTCTTATTTGTATAGCCGTATAGGACTTCCAAGTACAAGACGGTAACTTGGATAACTACTCACTAGAACTTGAATAACAGTCCATAACCAAAGTTGTCATTTTAAGAATGATGCAATTCTTATGCGGCTGACCTCTGTTAGTTTCTTTGTTACAGTTGTCTGGTTGTATTCTGTTTTGTACTGCTCGTTATTTGGACTTTAATTGATGAAATTTCTATTCTTACCAAGAAAGAAAAATTAGATTAAGAAATACTTGAAAATGTATGCCATTTATGAGAAAAGTTGAGAGCAAGTCTCTGCTGAGGTTCATGTAGGAAATGCAGTGTTTAAAAACAAATCCTTCTGACTTAAAGGAGTAATGTGGTAGGGTAACAAACTAACAATCTGTGTGCATACCAAAAACAAGTCATTTATGGATATAATATAGAGATATACGCAGATCCAGTATATTCCCTTAATCCCTTTTCCTCTTCACAATGATTAAGTTCCAATGATTATTTCTCTTTTAGTGTAATGCATATGCATTTTAAACCTCTTAGCGGGGGATCTGGATTTGCTGAATGCTTTAGCTGTTTAGTGGGCTGTGGACCAATGGTAAACGCCCCATGCCAGTGATAAAACACATGGGGCCCACAGTGTGGGGTTTAGTATTTGTGGGTCCCATGTATTTTATGACTGGTGTGGAGCATTATTATTGGTTCTTTGTGGGTTTCATGTATTTTATGACTGGTGTGGGGCATTATTATTGGTTCCACAGCCTTCTGAGCAGCTATTGCATTCAGCTAAATCTATCTCCTTAGTGGGTAAGGATCAAGATAGAAACAATATTTCCAGGCCATCTAGCAACTGAAAGGATGATCTCAAAAATAGAAAGAAAATATTACACCTCATATACGTCTTGACTTCGTTGAGATGCTGGCACAGAGAAGGAATAAAGAGAGGAAAAAGACAGAAGGGTGGGTATGGGTAGATTCTCACTACACGATCCTGACAATTGCATTAGGGGTCTTACCAACATGAAGTCTAAAATGTACTTTTTTTTCTCGAAGAGATTGTGCATTGTCTTTAAGAAAAAGCTATTTGAGGTTTTCTATTTAGAAACATCAAATTCTGAAGCAAGCTATTTGAGGTTTCTAAGTAGAAAACTAGCTATTCCTATATAGGACCATGTACTCTCTTCCAGAGAAAATAAAAAATACTTTTAACTCTATAACATGATGAGAGAAGAGGCTATCACCTTGATAGTGAAATTTTATCATCTCTGTCTGGTTGGTGAGGCCCCAATTCAATGGTCAGAATCATGTAGTGAGAATCTACATACAATCTACTCTATCTGACATGAGACAAATAAAATTTTCTTGTGCCTCAATAATAGCATGCTTATAAAGCACTATCATTGTACAGGAGCATCCTCACCATATGCATTTGTAATCCTTTTTCTTGTTGTATAGATTCATGTTACGTTGGAATAGCATTTATATGCCTGACATGCATTTGTCTCAGGTTGAAAGTGTTGGTAGCTATTCCAAAAGTACAACCAAGATTTGCAATTGCCATTTGGAAGAAATATCCAACCATGAAGTCCCTTCTTAGTGTTTATATGGATCCAAGTAAATCGGTGAGTGTTTTTCCCCATACTGCACGTCTTTTATATCAATGATTTACCCATCACTGATTTGTATATTTCTTGGCCCCATAATATGGTCTATTCACTTAATGTACTACCCGTCCTGGAAAGGGGCGTAGCTGGAACTATAAATAGAAGGCCTTACCTTGTTTACTCAGTAAAAAAGAGCAAAAACTAGGAGGCTTATACTTTATAGAGAACAGGTGGTCAAGGTTTTTGATAGTTAACAAGTTCAAAATTGTGCACTTGTATGCGTTTCTGGCCTCAACCCGTCATAAAGGTCCTCCCAAAAGAAAGGAAACAGTAAAGACTTCAAACACATGGGTGGGAGACTAAATGTTATAGAACATTGCAAATTACTTTGTATCAATAAGAAAAAGAACTTTTCTGGTTGAGAATAAAAAATGCTGTCTAGTCCCAAAGTCAAAATTGATATCTGGTAACAAACATTTTGCTCAAACTCCCCTCACAATGACAGGTACATGAAAAGGAATTCCTTCTCAAGGACATAACAACAGAAGGGCCGCTTGGAAATGAAGATAGGAGACTGGGTGAGGTATGTTCCAAGAGAGTTTACAGAATACTCATGGCTCAAAGTGGAAGCATTAAAACCGATGATGTGGAGGATGGTGCCGACTTCTTTGGGTGCTCATCATCTCGATGAGACAAGGTACATGATTCTCATTGTTAATGTGACGTGGGTAGAAGCTGACCCCTCCATTCTGGTGTTGTCTCACATCATTGATGTGATGTTTTTCGTAAATTTGTAATATATTTTTGGAAATCATGAAGCCAAATTGTTTGGTGAACGAAGCAGTCCATTATAGATAGAACGCTACATCCACCGCCTCTGGGAATTTCAAGCAGCATTTCCCCTACTAGTCAGGTTACCAATTTCAATTTCAATACATCCTTAATCCCTTTATTCTGTAGATTCTGTCAGCTTATATATATTCCATTGACAGAAATCGCCCATCCAACGCAGTCCCGTACTTGAGGCTCAAAATTTTATAATTGAAATGATTTCAAATTTGATTTGTTAATATTTGAATTCTGATTGAATCTTGTTCAAAAGAGCAATGATTCGATTAGAGTATCACATCTAAAAAAAATAATGTAAGAATGAAGTCGATGTTATCTATCATGAATAGAAACTTTATAGAATTTGAGCCTATGGCTCCTTATTTAACATAAAACACTCAAACCAACCCTACTAAACTAATGCATACGTATTAATTTTGTCTAGCTCTTCAATCAGCTACTATCAATGTTGAATTAGAATTTAGAATATCATCTTCAAATAAAACAAATGGAGTGGGCGGCCTTCAGCCTTTTCCAAAAGTTCGTAATTAATACAAGTACAGAACCATCTGGTTGAACTATGGGTGGCATCAGCATTTTGGGAAGGATCCAATGGTTATATTTATATCTTATGATAGAGGGTGGTGATTGGGATGGGATAATCCATAAGTTTCATTCTTTATATCCAAGTTGGTTGGGAAGTGCTTGGAGGGTGGAGGGTGGAGGGTGGAGGGTCACTTGCAAATTGTGGACTGAGGTAAAGATTAAGATATGAGACCAAATCAGCTTCACTTCTGCGGCCCAGGTGCTTCCTAAAAGTTCTCAATGATGCCCTCTTAAAAGTATCGGTGTTGTGGTTTCTCCATTGTGGAATAAATATGATGAGAAGCCATTGGCCTCAACTGAATTGCCCTTCAACTAGTCTAGCAGGAATATTGTGATAGCTTGGTTGGTACACGTACATCCTCTAGATTTGAGAAGCACGGCATTGTTTTTGGGCCACCCAAATTGCCCTGAGGATGCACATTTCCAGTGAGAGAAAATGACTTCTGTCTCACTTTTGTGCATGTTTCTAGCAACATCTATTGTTCTGGAATGTGGATCATTATCTATAAAATAAGCATTGTTAACAATTAAGCCTTTGGATTAAGGCCCCAAGACCCGCAATTGCAAAACAAGATATGAGAAGAACAGCCCATAAAAATAATACGGGCCAAAGGTCATCTGCCCATGATAGTTCTTTCTTAACCGAAATCCATTTCTTAAGTTAACAAAAAAAAAAAAAAAAAATCAATAAGGACCCAAATCACAATTACATGACATTTTTCCATCAAGCCCAAGAGAAGGTTTCTACACGGTCGGCCCAGACAACATTTTTCTGGAAAATATCTAAAGCACGGCAGCAGTTATGATTATATGATATTCCCCTGACTGTTGCCTAAAAGACACCAAGGCCCCACAAATGTGCCAATTTAGTAGGGTTTAATTAAAGCCAAAGATGACTCTTCATCTTCCTAGAAGAAAAGGGGGAACGCCACTTAGGGGCTCAGGCTCTCCTTAGTCATTACACGACTAGACATGGTTAGCCGGTTAGGCTCACAGTTAAAGCATTGTTTAAACAAGAACTCGGCGGCCCAAATAAATGGGCTTATCCTTCTACAGACAAAAATAAAAGGCCTGTCTGTCCTACCAACTTGCCACCCAATTGACGTGGGCCTCCACCACCATGTGAATCCATTTAAGCCTCCATTAATGGCATCTTCTCTCACTAGGTCCCACCATTTAGCCCTCATGATGCCACGGTGGGAGATGAGAAAAGGGTAAAAGCCCATATCACATGGGTCTGTTTCTGTTCCTCCCCCAGTTTTAGGTTACATCGCTTTCCCCCCCCNCCCCCCCCCTTGATTTGTTTGAAGTGCACATCTCGAGGTATCATTATGTTTGATCAAGTGGCATCAACATGCAAGGATACCAAACTAAAGTACACCTTGTTTTGCATGGAATCCAAGCCCATCATCTCTCCTTTGTATAAATATATTGACAAGGGGAGAAGGATATCATCTGTTCCTCACTACCTCCTTCCTCTCACTACTTATCTGAGGCTCTGAAAATATCAATCCCAATAGCTCTTGAGTATGGAGAGGTGCAGGTCATTCCCAGATTATTCATGCTCTTACTCGGGCGGCGGGTTCGGGTTGAAGGAGAGATCCAACTCATACAGCTTCAATGGGCCGAGTGGTAGGGGTAATGGGTTCTCAACCTCAAGCGATCCGGAGCTTAAGAGGAAGAAACGGGTGGCAGCATATAACGTGTTCACCACTGAAGCCAAGCTCAAATCATCTGTTAGGAACAGCTTCAAATGGATCAAGAGCAAGTTCACCGATATCCGTTATGGTATGTAGATAGAAACCCTAAACCGGATGCTTACCCGGGTCTTCTTCCTGGTCGTCCATGTTCTTCTGCAGCACCAAAGCAGGAACACCAGCACCAGCTTCCTTCATGGGTTTGTTTGATGATCATGGTAATCAAATGGGTTTGCTTGATTGGATTAATGTACGTTGTGTTGCATGGAGAACATATGAGATCAAGCAAAGATGTATGATATGAAATGTTCAAATTTGGAGCTTTGCACCAACTGATGATCAAAGTATATGTTCATAATTTCATATTCCTCGTTCGATTATGAAGTCCTTCATCTAGACCATCGAATTGGTGGGCCAATTACCCATAAATGAGTAGTTAGACGTATAAAGCTGGTCTGGTATTTTGGGCTGTGCTTGAGTCAATGGATTGTTCAAATGTAAGGTGTGGATGTAATGAGAGTTGTGATTTTTCGTTTTTCAGTTCATCAAATAGACTTTCTGGGTGCAAGTAAGCTTCGTTATCATCCTTAACTCTCGTTTGTAAGCTCTAAGCTGTTTGTTTGTTTGTTTCTTTCTTTTTTTTCAAGTTTGCACCCATAACCAGAAATAGATTTGTGGGTTTGATCCACCTGTGAATATTTATATATGAAATCTGCCTTCACATTTAGGAGCTCTTTTCACCACCAATTTGAGTCAAATGAGACATAAAAGACCGTTTGCAGTGCAATATTTACACTGATGCAAAAGCATATAGGAGTGCAAATAATTTGAGTATAAACTCTGATTAATTTTCGTTTCTTTTTTTTTTTACCTTATTTCATTTTATTGCACTGCATATAAAGTAAAATAAAACCTGGAAAAGCATACGCAAACCAGAATTTGCATTCTTCTCAATTGTACTCCCATGCATTGCATTTGTACTAATGTAAATGAAATTATGAGTCCGGATTTCCTATCCACGATGACTCTACTCACACCTACCCACATGAGATCGCAGCAATATATGGGGAACATCTCATGCTTTTACATATTATTATGGAGATGTTTCCAATGAACGAAGGTAGTGTTTTGTGTGTAGGTGTGGGTAGAGTTCTTGTGGGTAGGTGTTATTATAATTTTACACAAAAAAACATCTCATGCTCTTATATGTTATTATGCATGAAGAGAAATTTCCAATGCATGGAGTTATTGTCAGTTGAAGATCTGGAGTCTGAAACTACACTACAAACAAATGGAGAAAGAAACAAAAATGGGGCATAGATGTTTAGATTTGTACTGGTGCAGATGAAATTATACCGCCAACAAACAAAGCAAACAACAAAGGTGGGGCATAGACATTTAAGTAGATTCCAATCCGAGAATATAATTTCCGTGTGGGTGGGCCAGAAGATGCCTTTGTTGCAGGATAATGCATATAGATAATGAAAAGGCAAAAAAGGGGAGAATTGGTGAAAAATCTAGTTCAGAAGGTTGGGTTTAGTGGGGTTAGGAAGGTTTGTGGTGAGGATTTGAACCCAGTTTATGGCACCAATACCCAGTGATTTGTATAGGTTGAACCCAAACTCAACTGGAACAGCAATGGTGAGATAATAGTGAAGTAGAATGTTTCCTTCTCAGTCCACATCGAGAAGGTGAAACACCATGTTTGCAGTTTCAGGACAGCGTAGACATGACCTAATTTTTGTGGCCCTACTCAATTAAATTGCCACTACTCCTTGCAAGCTTTGCAGGCAGCAGTCATTAACAGAGCAGAGATGGGTCTGCCTCTTTTGGCTGCATCTGAAAGTCCATGCTTTAAATTGGGTCCCACCTAGTTTTCAGTTTGCTTCCCCAAGTAAACTGAGCACCTGTAGCTTTCTGAGCCAATATTAATGATATCTGGGAGTATGGGTGCTAATCATTCAGTACGTAACGCTTAGCCATGTTTAGTCCAGATACATTGTATCAATAATCAACATGAGCGTGACCCCATCCTCTCTTGATCAATTGACATGTTTAGAGTGGGAAGAAACCTGTAGAACTGCAAGTAATCTTACTTCTAATTTCAGTGGGTGTGAAAAAAAAGGATTTAATTTGACTTGAGAAAAATAGGGAAGAGAGTTCCATTCTTATTGTGTCCCAAAATTCATGATCATTGAAACTATAAATCCTAAAATCCATGATTATTGAAACTGGCCTCCCGAAACTTGCCTATGGGTCGATGGTTTGAACGGATGACATGTTCTGACAAAACCATTGAACGGGTCTAATGGTTGACAGTTCAACTATTCAAATCAATGGGTCATTGATCAATTCAATAATTTTTGGCTAGAAACCAGTTTTAAAACAAAAAGGAACCAATTGCCTGAATAGATTCCAAGCCAAATAATTTGACTATATAATCAATGGTGGTTTGAAAAATATTGTTTTTCTTAACTGGGTTGCATGACTAGGTGAAACAGAACAATGTCCATGACTAGCGAAATAATAATCAGTTTTGATAAAAGTGGAAAGAATAATGTTTTGATAGTTAAAAGACGTATTGACCTTTTGCATGAAGATTTGAGCAGTCCGAAGCACGCTTAGTAGATGTACATCTTTCCGTGTCTTTTTACACGAGAATAAAGCGTGAAAATCTTCATTTGGAGCTTTCCAAAATCAACCCAAAATGAGCTTTCGCAATTTTTCGGTGTTCCGGTTTTTGGTGGTTAAATCTTTCGTGAGTCAAACAGAAATAGACCAAAAATCAGTTTGTCTGACTTATAAAAAGCCGAAAAACCACGTGAAAAGATCACCAAACGAACCGTTAATTTATTGGTAAATGACTTGATTGCTCC